AAAAGATGTTCCATTCTTAGGTCATGTCATCACGCCACAAGGCATACTTCCAAACCCAGATAAAATCAAAGTAATTCAAGAATATCCTCTCCCGACTACGATTAAAGAAATCCAGTCATTTTTAGGCCTTATGAACTATTATCGTAAATTTATTAAAGGATTTGCACAATTGACTAAGCCATTCACAAAATGTTTACGTAAAGATGAAAAAATCAATATCAATAATCCAGATTATATCAATGCATTTAAACTTTGTAAAGAAGCTCTTTGTAACCCACCTATTCTGGCTTATCCTGATTTTTCCAAAAAATTTACATTGACAACTGATTGTAGCAATATAGCCCTATCAGGAGTTCTTAGTCAAAATGATAAGCCTATTGCTTTCCACTCTCGAACATTAAATTCTGCTGAACGCAATTACAGCGTTATTGAAAAAGAACTATTGGCAATAGTTGATTCTTGTAAAAAATTCCGTCCTTATTTATTTGGTCAAAATTTTCTAATCGAATGTGATCACAAGCCCCTAGTTTGGTTGAGTTCTTTATCAGTGCCCAATCAGCGATTGATTAGATGGAAGCTTCAGTTAGAAGAATATAATTTTTCAATTAAATATAAAAAAGGCAAAGACAATGTTGTAGCCGATGCGCTCAGTAGAATTGAAATTAACGCTTTAGAGGATGACGATCTTTTATCCATTTTACCACAAGTAGATTCTGTAGAAGAATTAACAACCCAAGAACTTGATGAAATCTTGAATGAAGATAATTTACCTTTAATTGATTTATTAGATGAAATGCCGTTAGATGAACGACTCAAAATTGTTGAGCAATCTGATGTTACTCGACATTCATCTGCACAAAATCCTATCAATCATATATTGTATCAAGAAAAGAATTTTTATTTTTTCAAAAATCGAATACATTTTCAGTTAAAAAATCAGTATAAAATAACAAAGTTTTGCAATGGTACTTTAATGGTAACAGTCCGAAGTGGATCTGAAACAGAGCAACTTTTGAAATTCATGAAGGAATATCTTCAGCCCGATCATACTTATGGTATTTGGTATGAAAATCAACTTTTAGAATTTAAACTTAACGAACTTTTAGAACAGTATTTTTCGAACAGCGGTATAAGATTTGTTAAAGCTTCTTATAAGCCTATATACCTACTAAAAGACTCATTTACAGAACAATTGTCTTTCTATCATAGCCAAACGCATAATGGTATCAATGAAACTTACAGCCATTTCAAGAAAAAAGCATTCACCCCAAATATGAAAAAAATAATATCAAATTACATTAATCAGTGCAATACTTGTATGACATCAAAATACGAAAGACGACCAATCGAACTCCCTATGGAAGGACCTCTAATAGCCAAAAGACCATTTGAACATATATTTCTAGATATTTTTCAAGTCGAACAACAAATATTTTTAACATTTGTTGATTTATTTAGTAAATATGCCCAGGCCTACAATTTAAAATCAAAATTATCTAACGAAATATTAAACAAAATCAGACACTTCTTTTCCCATCACAATTATCCTGACAAAATAACTTTTGATCCTGGTGAACTTAACACAAAAGTTATAAAAGAATTCTGTAATATGCACAAAATTGAATGTCATGTTACTAGTGTAGGTAACCCCTCATCATTATCACCTCTTGAAAGATTTCATAGTACCTTGAAAGAAAAACTCAAAATTTTACGTCAGCAAAATAAAATCGATTCGATTATTGATCTAATGACGACAGCTATCTTAATTTATAACCAAAGTGTCCATTCTACGACCACATATACCCCATTTTCATTATTATACGGTCCTTACGACGATTTGAATAAGCATTTGATCGATACCCCCACAAAATTATATGATGAATATAACGAGAAACGGTACAGAGAATTACTACCTTTTTATGAAGAACTATCGAACCGTGTACTAGATAAGGCAACGGAAAGACTAGAAAAAATTAATCAAAATCGAAATAAGGAAATTCCAACCTTAGAAGGTCCAGTATATCTTAAATCTGCATTAGATCGTTCACATAAAACAAAACCCCTGTATTCTAAAGAGACCTCTTACGAACAAGAAAATGTCCATATTAATTTGCGCACTAAAGGAAAAAAGCATAGACTGAATAGAGTGAAACCGCAACGCAAAATTTCTAACTTTCAGGATCCTAATCCAGGCCCTTCAACTAGCCGGTCTAGAGATCCAGCTGATCGAGAATAAAGCACCATATTTTAAGCAAGAGCTAGGTAACGCCTATCTACTAAAAGCGTACCATAAGACATTTTTTCATATAAATCTCACTCTCATTAATGAAAATATCAAGCAAATAACGTCAAATGTCTATTTTGCAAAGCAAAGAATAGATGATACGTTGATAACACAACTTGAACATGAATACAATTTGCTTTTAGACAAATATGAAATGTTAAAATTTAAACGAGTTAAGCGTGGATTATTTAATGGTCTTGGTTCCGTCATAAAATATATTTCAGGCAATTTAGATCAATCTGATCTAGACGAAATAATGGAAAATATGAAAATTCTGAAGGAAAATCAAGATAATTTATCATTACAAAATTCCCGAACCGTCTCTGTAGCAAAACAATTACAAGACAGGTTTGAAAATAACACTTTAATTATAAAAAAAAATTTGAGAGATAATTTGGATAACCTCAACAAATTGCATAGCGAATACGCTAATTCTCAGTATGTCTTGAATGAGATAATAATTATTCAAAGATTTTCTAATTATTTATCACACTTACTGTTAACCATTAACCTGAGCACAAATCAGGGCATAAATCTCTTACAGCTGAGTAAGACTGAAATTAATTATATCCATTCGTTATTAAGTGATCTATTTGACAAAAATGAACTTCTCCCACTTGATAAACTGCACAATTTTGAATTTTTCGAATTATGTGAATTAAGTATTATAGTCCTCGAAGAAGAAATCATATTTGTTCTTCACATACCAACAGTTACTGGTAACTTTATATATTCCAATATATACCCCATTATACACCAAAATAATATTCTGGTATTGAAACATAAAAATATTATCGAAAATGAAACTATACATTTTTGTGATGAATGCAAATTATTGAGTAATAAATATTTTTACTGTACTATACTAATCCATTCCAGTTGTAACTTACTTAAAGTTGAAAATTGTACATTCTTGGCAAAAGGTTCATTTTCAGAAGTAATTCAATTAAAACATGATAACTATTTAGTGAATACTAACAAGAATATTCCAGTATATGAAGATTGTACCAAAGAAAGAAAAGAAATTGATTCGTCTTTTATTATCAGCTTAAACTGTAAAACATTTATTGATCATACTGAGTATTTGAAGATTTCTGATATTTCGAAACCTTTATACATACCTAACATTATGGTGAACTATGATAAGAATATGTTATTTGAAAATACTGATGTAAAGGGTTATTCGGACATACAATTGAATAATGTTTTATTACACGATAAATTAAAAAATTTAGATTTTTCACACAAAACGTCCACGTTTAGCATTATAACTATTTTATGTATTTTAACATTTATTGTAATTATACTTTGTTTAAAAAAACAATTGCTCTCTCTTTTGAAGCAAAAAGAACCAAAAAATCAATCAGTCAAAAATGACATTGAACTTAACCAGATTTTTCCTTTGAACCAGGAGGTTCAATCTTCTTGAAGAGGGAGGAATTACGGCACTGCTATGATGATGATCTAATATGTAGAGTTGCTTAGGTTTGCACTTTTCGATTCCTTTGTTCTAGCGTAGGTTATAAGTAAGAGATGCATGTAAACCAAGGTGACCAGTACTCATTCGTCTTCTGTTAAATAAAGTCGCTTTTTTAAAAAGTCGTTCGTTGTTTGCACATTCTTAATTTACGTGTTGCGTAAACGTCATGACGCCTAAGCTATCAATGCATGGCTCTGATGTGATGAAACATTCCCTTCAGAGATGGCATTATTGAAGGTCCAAGCTGTAAGTTGTAAGCTATAGCTGGAAGGAAACGGAAGTACATAGATGCATAGTGAGGATTTGTATGCTAATAGTCTGTGTAGATAATTCAATTAGTTTCTACTCCCAAATAGACTTACTTGAGATGTATGCAAAGCTAGAAATTAGTTTCGTATCCACTTTTTTATTCTTCCAGAAAATTCCATGTGTAGATTTGCTGAATTTCAAATATGAGAGAGATTAGAAAAGAAGATCCCTGGTCGGTTTTTTTTTATACTCCAACTACCACGAAGGTCAAAGGCCTAAACACCCATGGGGTACCGTGGGGCTATAGGGAGATACAGGGGAAAGTGGGGGGGGTCGGTAAAGTATATTTCAATCAACAGGTCAGAAAATATGCCACGGGCAGGACTATTTGAGAAACGTGAAAAGGTTATTACATTTTACATTATTTTTTATTAAGAGTCATTTAAATTTAATAGAAACTTATTTTGTGATGTCAAGTAGAAAATACAGATCAGCACCTACATGTATGGCGCTGCGAAAATGTTCTGTGTGGTATGCATCATTTCTAATTTTTCTGTGCGGTGGGAATTTCTCAAAATTTTTGAAATCGCAAAAAACATTGAAAATCGTAATTTATAACATTGAGCATAACCTCTCGTCAGAAAGAAAATCACAAATAACTCGTCTGATACAGTTAATAGATATACTCGTAGGCAGCATATTCAGTAATAATTTTCTCACTTAACATTTTATACATGTGAAGACCAATTCATACAATCATCCAGATGCGATCTTGCTACTCAACCAACTTTTTACGTAATAACCCTGCCAGACTGCCAGACATTTGTTGTTGGACAGAACGGTATGTTACTGCGGTAATATCGTTAAATAATTTAAATAATCAGCTGCTAACTGCTGTCACTTTTGACGTATTGACTTACGGGGGTAATAACTTAGCTCCTATCGAAAACTCGCCTCAATTAAATTCCATTTAGGTGTACTACTTACGATATTGGCGAAAAGTCCGCAACATGCCGGTACGGCTAAAATATTAAATACTGCAGATCCCACGATGGTTCCAACACCCAAGTCACCCTCAGTGACAAAGGTACCAACGCAGTTTATGAACAGCTCAGGACTGGAAGCAGCTGTCGCCATGAATGTTGCACCTGCGATGTCTTCCTTCATGTGAAGCTCTAGAAAATAAAAACATTTTGGATGTTCCTTTTTTCACCCATCTCAGCTTTTTAGATGTCTACAAAGATGATTTTTAGTGCACTGAGAACTTAGTGTATTGAGGCTTCTTAAAGCGGCGGCAGCTGAATATGTGTGAAATCGAGTACTCGAAATACGAGTATCGCTTGTAACATGACATTGAAAATAAACCCCTGATTCCTTTTTTTTATGCAATATAGCTAACGCAGGTCTAATACCCAAAAATGAACACCAGTTTAGAAAAAAATTGTGTACCCTTGAAGGTAAGTAAAAAGATTGCTGGATAACTTTTTCATTTAAAGGAATGGAAAAACCTTTAGAAAGAAATCTATTTTTATCTTTTAGAATTACAAATTAACCGCTGCAACCAATTGACGTTTAATTAAAACGTGTCCCAGAGAAAATTTTCAGTAGATGATAGGCCCCTTCATTAGTTCTCAAGGATAAAAATCCTTTGTTAGGTACAACCAATTCAAAACCTATGTAATTCCCAAAATTTGTAAACCTGAAAAAGGAAAAGTAAATATAATGATAAGGGGAGGAACAAGAATGTTAAGAATTAGATTATCCAGAATTATCTATTCTTGGAAAAATTAATATAGCTAAACACGTGTCGAAAAAATTGTGTTGACTAGTTGTCAAACAATGCAATTGGCTAGGAAAAATAATTTTATTGAAATGAAGCACCAGATGTGCGGATTCTTATTTTTTAAAGGTTACATCACTTAGATGTATTCCATTTCGTTGTACGCGTATGGAAACTGTTCATCGCATTTTGTTGAAGCATTACAGGTTCACTTTCGCTCTTTTCTCGAAGGATATTTTCCTTCAAGCTGACGATATTCCTCGAAGTATGCATGTAAATTTTGGACTTTCGATATCCAGAAAGTGAATGGGTGTCAAATATGGGAATCGTCAGGGCCGTAGAACAGCAAATAATCGGTCTTTGAAAATGCGAAATTCAATACCCCAGCCTAAAAAACAATCTGCAGTTAATGAGCTTGGTTAAAGCGAGATACATCCACTTGCCACACCACTGGTCACTGTGGAAGTATCTCGAGAGCATGTTCCCAAATAGTACTAACAGATTCCATGAGTGCGCCTAGATGTAATCTTCGAAAAATAGACTCCTGATATCAGGTGATTCATCTACATGTAAATGTGAATGTCTGTCCAGTAAAATTGCCAACAGTTACTAACTGAAACCCGAGGAAGGTATAGCCGTGGTTTTATACGTATGATGTTCAAAAAGTATGGACATATCGAATTATCTCAAAAAAAACATTTCCCAGAGAAAGATGTTCAAGAACAAAGTTGCAAGGTTTGAAAAGATTCATCCATTGGTGATCCTGAACCTGACCTTGACTATGACCTTCAACATCATTTGAAGCTCAATACAGCTTGTTTAATGAAACCCCTATTTTTGACAGCGTACAAAGCGAGAAGCTCTACGTTGAAGTATATCTTTACCCATGACCTTGAACATGATCTTTGTAGGTATTTGAAGGTATCCAGAAAGTAGGGAGAAGACAAAATATCTCGATAAATACGTTTCATAAAGAAAGATGTGTAGTAAATTTTGAAAATACTTATTTAATAGTGACTTCGAACGTGACCCTGACTATGACATTCAAGTTCATCTGAAGGTCAAGGCAGTTTTCTCACATGGAAACCCCAATTTTTGACACTGGGGATAAGACGGACAAGAAACTTTATGTTCCAGTTTGTCCATGACCTTGACTAGTACCATCAAGATCATTTGCAAATCAAATGATTTTTTTAACGGGAAACATCTATTTTCAGTTCCAAAACCTCACCTTGACCTACTTGAAAATCAAATACATGTTCAGGTAAACTTCTTAATTTTTGTCGATGATACAAAAAAGCGAAACATTGAAATGAATTTATTGTTGCATTAAAATCTTGGATAAAAAGTAACTATTGCATTACTCTGAATATTACAATTCTTTCTCTGAAGCCGCACTAATGCGAGACGAGTGCTTTACACTACTTCCACGCGAACGCGGCCGCGGGTTTCCCAGAACGCGTAGTAACGTAGCACTTTTTTAATAGAAGTTAGGAATCCTAAATCTCCTTTTGCTTTTTCTCTTTCCCAAAACTCTTTTCTTCAACATTATTCATCTCGCTCCGGTTCAAAGTTCAGTTGAGAACTAACAAATGCGGCGCCATCAATCCAGATTTCTCCAGAACATATGGCTTTTGTTAAAAACAAATACATAGACGAGAAGCGCATATTCTGATAACCTTTTATTGCATGCGGTGCATCATTTTTGTAGCACATCGCTATTTGGCTCTGATTTACACTGATTATCTTATCAGCTCAGAATTATATTTATATGTTTGAAATATCCATAATTACCAGTTAATGAAATTATTATTAGATTTGGGCAATAAAATCTCAACAATATTTACCTTCAAGTTATTTGTGTTTATTCTATTGATTTTTACACTTCTTTGATGATGCTATATACCGCAACTACCCATTTGAATTCGGAAATTTTGAAAACTCTTATCTTTTCAAGTATTCGTTACATAGGCGTGACTGTAAACTTACATTTTTCAACCTTACGGTGTATCCGACCTGTTTATATGGTGTTTCAGTATATGTAACACCATTGTTACGCCATACTGAACTCCTATAGAGCTTAATTGTCCTGTAAAATTTGGAAAAGTCGAAGATGCAATCTTAGACCCCCACGTAATAAAAATAAATTACTCTACTAATAAAATAGTGCCCTTGTGGACTGCCAAAAATTTCAATGTCGGCTATAATGTTCGCGGATTCGAATTCCAGCCTCGGAAGATACATTTTAAGCTAGCCATATTGTACTTATCAATAGAGAGTGTCTCGTACTTAAATTAACATAGTGGTAGGTAGTATGGAGCAAGACCTTTTCATATCTGTAAGTAAAAAAGTTTTAAATGACCTGAATATTGAATTGTTTGACTAAGTATGGAAAAATATGATGAACGGTGCTGAGTAATTAGCAAAATAGAAGAAAAACTTAAATATACAGGTCCAGACTCAACATTTTCAGCATATTTACGTTTACGTGCTCTCACCAGAACTCTACATTTGGTTTAGTTATATAATGCACACATCATACATCACACAATTAAATGTCAATTCCGGACCTGCATACTTCGTTTTTGTGGATTTATAATCGAATTCCAAGTGCGTCATGAACGTCATTAAGCAGAACTCATGTTGTTGTACAATAAGAAAAAAGTAAATAAGGATGCATAACATTAATTTTACCCTTTATTTACATCATGTATTTCTCTGTTTTCTACGAAATAATAAATCCAGGGTATAACTTACAGGACTTTGAATTTAATAAAATACGAGGAAGTAAAGAAAACCGAATCCGACACATAAACTGCTAAAACAAGATATTTGAATAAATAAATAATTTTAGCTAAAAATCTAAAAGAGGCACATTCAATATATCTTGCTAATTAATTAGCACCACTCATTGGCTATTTTGATACATTTCATTCTTTAGCTTAACAGACGTTGATTAGAGAAAAAAGCAAAAAAGTGAAGAAAACCGGGTCCGATCTGGACGGTTTAACCATCTGTCTGGTTCTAGATTATTCCTGGGTAATTTTGTTATGCAAAATTGTAACTAAATCGGTTCAATTGTGTCTGAATTATGTGATATTAAAAATAAAGCGTGCTTTCATAAATATATATCCTTAAGAACTGAATTAAGAACTTTATTATTTATGGATAATACCACTTTACTATGTCCATTTAAGTACGGAGCACCCTCTATATGTACGTACCAGATCACTACAGGATCAAATAGGTACATCTCATCGCTTGAACTTTTTTATTCAATAATCAGTTAAGCATGTGAAGTAAGTAAGTAGTACAGTGCTGGTACAGATGATCGGCAAAAGTGGTCAAAGGTGGCCCATATAGTAGCTATTGTACGTTAGTAGTTCGCTTCCACACCACCACCACTTCTACTACTACTACTGCTGGTACTACCATTAGCGTTTTATATCCTTGATTATTCCTTTACATAGAATCCAAAAACTCAAACGCAGAGCAGATTTTACTTACTTCGTTTTAATCTAATTACCTCTGATTTCAGTAACTTGATATTGAACACGAAATGGATACTTTGTGGAAATAACATTACTTTTACTCACTGTCGCAGAATTTCTTAATAGCAGGTACAAAATAGTCATCGCACACGATGGCCAAAAGCGTGAAGCAGTAACAGGCAAGTATGCAATGCAAAAAAACCCAACCATGCTGCCTCTGCTCTCTGGTCAGGCCATCTGGAGGAAACTCTAAAATGGCCGCTCGCGTGCAGTTTTCTACTTTTCTGACAGCGGTTTCATTCCCGCTTCTAGTGGTTCCAGGTACTGTCGCTGCCAAGGTACCATTTGCGTTTTCGCCAACAGACAAAAGTTGTCGACCAAAAAACCTTCCTGTGTCTGCAATCAAATTTTACTATCAGAGGAGTTTTTCGATGGCGAGTAATCTAATCAATATGACTATCGGCCATGCTGCGTGCCCTACGTGGAGCTACGACGTTTTAATGATTGAAAAGTTGACATTAATATAATTGTCAGGAGCAACCCAGTTCAACTAAAATATTTTCAAAATAGTCTCACTTCCGGTTGTACCGTTGTAGTAGTATAAGAGCTTTTTAATGTGAAAAAATGGATACCTTATATATACTCTAGCAAAACAAATGTCGTCAAGTAAATAGACTTTATACTCTCCTCGCCTTGGAAACAACTCCAAGTATTATTTTATTATTATGATTATGGTAGCTCCTGATAAATACTTATATACTCTATAATACGTGCCAATATTTCTAGGGTAGAAAGTACATCAAAAAATAACAAAAAAGCACCTATAAATATTGGTGCAAATATGCACCCCTACCGAGGTACAGCGTGATGAAGTGTGTTTCGCAGCCCATAATAAACCAAAGACGTAAAAACTGGGGTACCTGGACTCCTAATTGGACATACTTTCTACGCCACTGACCCTTTCGGAGAAAAGAAGTGAAATTTATAAAATACCATTAAATTTTTCATCAATTTTGTCTCTTAGGGAATTTTTGTCAGATCACATACGTTTTGGAGATATGTGGGGTTTAATATTTGAGGTAAAATCCTAAAATATTCTTAAGAAGGAATAATTTTGGGGCAGCAATACAACAGCATTTCGATATATGTACTATATGCCGAATCAGCACTAAATGCTTTGGTTTTGAAGCTAAGCAAAATATCTTTCACCTAATCGGTGGACGCCAGATCCAAATTCAAGAAGGAAACATTAGGTCCGACGTTATTTTTGTAAAAAGAAAGCGTTACAGCATCAGTTTCTATACCTTTACTAGATAAAGACCGGTTCATTTCGTCAACATCAGCTAAATCTTCTGGTAATATGAAGTGTTTTGTAAAAGTTGTATATTCCTTTAGATAATTAAGATGTACGCAGAAGTAATATAATGGTAATAACGGTTCATGCACTTTTGCGCCACCCCGTAAACAACTGATTAACAGATTGAGTGATTTTCTTCTGATAATGCAAGTCAAACGCGCACAAATTAAAGTAAACTAATAAAACTCCTGACAACGCACCAAAAACATTAATTTTAACTCAATAATTTCGCTGCAAGTAGTAACCTTTGTACTAAAACTTTGCAAAGGAGGATTAAGTTTTCGTTTCTTTCTTCAAACTGAATTAAAGAACCCTGGTTAGAGAGTGCAGTTGATGAAATTTCACGTACTTAGGCAGATCACTTGGATATTTCTCAAGTTTCTCTATGGGACTGGAGAGATGGGGGAAATTACACTCCTCATTTATTATTTTATTATACAATGTGGATAAGAAAATTTCGTGGTCGTAGGATGAAAATATGAAATATTCATGCTTCCGAGAGTGAGATTGAGTCACTGGAGAGAAATACCAGAACGATATACAACAACTGGGATAAGGGGTTTTTCATTGCTGAATCTCGTCACGTAAGTCGTACTTATCTCAGTCGTTTGACCT